TCTGTCCCCTGCTCCCCTCCTGCTTCTGTCTCCCGATCCCCCTCCTGTCTCTGTCCCCTGCTCCCCTCCTGTCTCTGTCCCCTGCTCCCCTCCTGCCTCTGTCCCCTGCTCCCCTCCTGCCTCTGTCCCCTGCTCCCCTCCTGCCTCTGTCCCTTCTTCTGTCTCTGCTGCCCAACACACACACACAAAGCTGAGGAGGGACATGGGCCTCTCCCTTGGTGGTCTCCTGCTGTACGGCTGTGGGGGCTGTGAGGGTATCCTGTTCACCCCAGCTTCTGGGACTGTTGGAACGTGCTGGCAGCTAAGTCAAAGCAGCTCTTCAAACACCAAGTCAGTTCATGTCCCCTGGGTGTCCGCAGAGGAATGCCAGGGCCAAGGAGTCAGAGTCTACCTCTAAGACAGAAACCCATGCTGCTCTTCGCCCTGCGTGACACTCCTGTGGCTTCACCCTGAGCTCACTGACAGGCCGCTGGCCTCTGGAGGGTGCTGGGAGGGCGGGGCTGGGGCCTGAGGCCAGGAAGGACAGTCTTGGCCTGGGGGGGAGCAGGCTGGAGCAGGCTGGTGGAGCCTGGGTTTGCCCAATGGCCAGGGAGGGAGACCCAGCTGAGGGCAGACAAGCCTGGACATGCCACCAAGACAGCCGGGCGCCAGGTGGGTGTTCAGAAATGCTCCACTGTCTTGAAAACTGTCTGGACCAAGGCTTCTCGCCAGTCCCTGTCACTCTGGAGCCCTGGCAGGGTCTGACGCTGCATCTCCACTGCGGATGCACAGTTCAGCCCACACCTACCACTGCTCCTTCTGGCTGCACTGCACCTGGGTCCCCTGGAGCAGGGAGCCAGCGGGGAGGGAAGGGGCCCAAGCAGAGTGGAGACTCCTGTCCCTGTGTCAGGTCCCAGAGCCATCAAGCTGAGCTCTGCTCCCCGCCCTGCCCTCTGCCGGGCTGTCTTCTTTCCTGCCCATGGAGGACCTGGGTCCCCTGGAGCAGGGCACGAGTCACTGGGATAGCTGCTGCGGAGCTGCGAGTGTGGCTGGGCTCTCTCCTGAGCAGTCTGTCTCTCCGGCCAGCAGGGGCTTGTCCTCTCTCTCCTCTTATGAGCAAGGCAGTGCTGTGTTCCACACCTAGTTTTGCTCCATCTTGAAATGCCACCTAGCTTCCTGCAGCCTGAGGAGGAGAGGCCCCGGAGGGTGTGGGCCCCGAGATGGAGCCCACGGGGTACCATCTTTCTGAGACACCTTGGCCTGCTCCCGATTAGAATGCCTTTCGTCTCACCTCTGCAAATACAGGTGGTCATTCTGTTCTGTCCGGCACCTGAGTCTCAAGGTTCCTGTGACCTAGGACATTTGCCTTGTCAGTTGAGGGGTGGGTTCTGTGATCCATGCTACCGTATTGAGCTTCAGAGTGGGTCACTTTAACTAGCTGTTTGAGCAGGTGGGATGGGGTAGCTAAGACCATCCACCCTGTGAAGGGCAGAATCATTCCACAGGCTGAGCACAATGTGCTGGCTCTGTCCCCCATGGGTGTTGTCAGCCTCTGGGTGGCCTTGTCCACCTCTCCTGTGGCTCTGTCCAGCCAGTCTTCCTGAGAGCAGGGTCTTCATGCCTCCCGATGACCCCCACCAGGGCAAACCTGCCCATTTCTTGGGGTTTCCATGAAAGCATGATTGTTGTTTGTGTGTACAGACTTCACAAAGTAGAACATTCTTTCTTGTCATCTGGGGATTGTCACCTCAGGCCGCGCTTGGGAATTCAGAATTCCATGAAAACCTGACAGAGGCTCCCCTGACTGTCCCTCATTGGCATGACACTGTGACGTTGCCTGGCCACTCAAAACAGCCGCACACACTCTCCCAGGTGCGCAGCTACCAGGGACCACTGAGTCCACACGCAGGAGTGGCGGAGGGACCAGCAACTGTCAGAAGGCACAGTTAGGGTTCTAGTTCTTTCGCCGCTAGGAGAACAGTGGGCATGGAGGAGCACAGTGTCACGGGCTTCCCTTGCCTGCCCTCTCTGGAGGGCTGTTGTCACCGGACCCAGGAATGTCCTCCATCCCTTCTCACTCACCTCCCACCTTCCTGCCAGCACCACTTCACAAACAATCGACCTGGGCTGAACGTGAAGTCACCTTGTGGACCTTGACACGGAAAGACATGGTCTAAACCCAGCCGGGGCCCAGGTGCTGCTCGCGTTTCCCCCTGCGAGGCGTCTTGCTGGGTGGAGAAGGGCTGAGTAGATGCTGGCTGCTGACTCGGGTCTCAAGGTCCCATCCTGGGTTCACCAAGAACAAGATGTGGAGCGGCTAGTGCGTGTGAGTTTTCTCAAAACCGAGCGGGTGGAGCACTGGTGCTGCTGGGGTTGGTGGCAGCCTGTGCCGAGTGACAGGCACTTAACTGGAACCTGCTTGCTGAAGGCAAGTCAAGCCAGGGGGGAGGAGGGAAGGGTGGCTGCCACCTGCCAAGAGCGACTCTGCCGTCTGCGTGTGCCGTCTGGGGTCTGCACAGATTTCAAGCTGAGTTTTGGTGAACTAGCTACTACCTGAAGGGAAGCCGTCAGCGTGAAGAGCAGGCAGTCTGGTTGGCCACCCTCGTCTCAGGCACAGAGGGAGCTGCCCTGGACTCCAGCCCCTGAAGGCTTCAGAGCCTCCTGGACCCCTCTAGGCTGCAGAGAGGGTCCCTGGTCACAGGGATCACATGGGCGGGGCCTACTTCCCTGACCGCTCAGGAGTGTGGGGGTGGCTGCAGGCAGCAGCAGGTGACCTGGCCGAGGAGTCCTGGCACATGGGACCTCGAGAGCCAGGTCGGAGAGTCCTAGTTAGCAGTTAGCCATGGGTCTTTCCTGTCATCAGGAGAAAGAGCCAGGAAATGCTCTCTGCCACAGATGGAACGTTACCTACTTCTAAGAGAAAACCTGGCATCTAGGTTAGCTAAAGAGGTTAATAGTCCTGAAGTTATGGACCAGAGACCACCAAGAGAGTGGAGGAAAAAGCTCCAAGTGCAACTTTCTTTTCTTTTAAATATTTTTTTTTTAGTTGCAGATGGACACAGTACCTTTACTTATTAATTTTTATGTGGTGCTGAGGCTTGAACCCAGTGCTCATACGTGTGAGGCAAGTGCTCTACTGCTGAGCCACAGCCCCAGCTCCCAGAGTGCAACTTTCCTCTCCCTGAGAAAGAATTGTGAATACAAAGACCATCTTAGAAGGAATCAAAAGTCTGTGTCAAAGACTTGCTTTACCCTGGCCAGCTGCCCAAAGTCCTGGCACAGAACCCAGAGGCCTTCTGCTCTGAGATACACACCGCTGCTACTGTTCACTATTGGCATTACAGTAAAAGCAAAGGCTGTCATTATGAGTGCTTGCTGTAAGCTGGGCTACTGCCTAAAAGCACCCAACACCCATCACACACGGCCATTGTGGCCCTGCTAATCACACTGCAGGAGGCAACCCAGCCCAGGATCTGTCTTTCCTGCAAAGGAAAACACCATGTGGGGAGCTCATGTGAACACCAGCTCTGTTTTAATGGAAGTTAAAATTAGAAAGCCACATGTTTAATTATATCCAGGCATTCAATTCCTGTTGGATGCTTACCACAGGGCAAGTGGCACTAACAGTGCCCACGTACTTTATTGCGGTTTGGCCAGCTGCAGTTCCGGGGTTTCCACTGCAGGGTGGAAACCCCGGAACTCCTCACTCTTAAACATCTGAGACCCTAATCAAGCATTAGAGTTCTCTTAGCAAAGCTGAATGCTGCTCAGGGACCTTCTGCCCAGGTAGAAATGGACACTGGGAGTGGGCCTGGATACTGCTCTGGGACCTGAGTCCTAGGTAGAGGTGGACTCTGGGAGCTGGGCTGTCTCTGGTCTGGGAGCAGGTGTCTAGGTAGAGGTGGACTCTGGGAGCTGGGCTATCTCTGGAATGGGAGCAGGTGTCTAGGAAGAGGTGGACCCTGGGAGCTGGGCTGTCTCTGGTCTGGAGCAGGTGTCTAGGTAGAGGTGGACCCTGGGAGCTGGGC